TAAGTTCATAACATTGCTTTCGAGACAATCTGTTTATATAATAGTTGGTTAAAAAGCGGAGAGTAAAAAGATACGGATTCAGGGACCATTGACCGATCCTCTTGGCCGGTCGGTTTTTGCGAGTTCTTCCTACGGCGTCTCTTTCCTCTCTAAATCTTTTCTCGTTTCAATTTCTCAAGCCGCTTAGTCTCTCGATTCGTCCCCTTCCACCCTTACTTGATTCGATCTTCGTTTCGCGGAACTCGTGCGTGCACCTTTCATCATTCTTAGCTCTATGATCTTTCGCCTCGAAGCAATTGAATTACTTCTTTAACTATCTATGAGCGTACACTTTACTTTCGACTCGTTCGCCGCAAAATAAAATAAAATAAAATATATATACTTGACGATAATATATTCGAGGGAAATGTTTCATTGCTGTTAAAAATTTTAAAATAAGAGAACTAGTTTATTTTAGATTTCAATCGAAGATAGCAATGACCACGATCTCTCGAGTGTGATTAATTTAGGTACGACCTCTTAATCCGTGTCGTAATGAATTCAATTGAAACAATTAGTCGATTAACGGCTCTATTAACTATTGTTTTTTTTTTCACCGTTTCTTTTCAAATTAATTTCTAGGCAAGTTTGAGAAAAATCTCTACTTGTTTTTTTTCTTTTTTTTTTTTTTAATTATTATTATTACCATAAATTGAACACCAGTAATAATCTAGCGTGATACTTTATTAACTATCCTTCGTTGAATTGAATTATCTTATGAAATGTGATATGAAAAATGTATTTCAGAGATCCTTGTGTAAAATGTCCTGTGGTGTGTATTCTTCAACGTATTTCGACTTGGTTGGCGAACCGTGCTGCTTTGCCAATTCCACGACGTGCTAAAGTTAGCGTATAGTCAGCGCGGAGCCAAGTGTACGATCTGAAGGAGCAAGAAGGAGCACGAAGGAGAAAACGAAAGAGAGATGTGGATGGTGGATAAGATAGAAATAGGAGAAAAAAGAAAAAAAATGAGTCAACGAAAAATAGAAGAAAGGGAAAAGAAGATGAAAGGAAAGGTAGGATTCGTGAGAGAAAAAGGGAAAAAAGATGGACGAACTGGAGAGGAAAATATGGTCTTTTTTAGGGGGAAAAACAGGAAAAAAAAAAAGAGAGAGAAAGAGAAAGGTAGGAAGAGCGAGAACAGCCGTCTGTGGGTGGAAGACACTCGAGACAGTATTTATCGTAGCCAAAGTAATGAGCCACTCGGAGTATTAATAACCTGACCGCGGTGTAACGCTATAGAGGTTTAGAATAAACGCGGGTGCAATAATTAGACGTCTGTGAGCGTCTTCCGGTATTCTGGTCTCGTGATACTTTCCTTCTAAAACATTCTTCTGTTCTCGTTATTTATGATTTATGATGTTTTTTTATTCGTTATTGTGATCAATGTTAGTAAAACTTTATTTTCCTTTTTTTTTTTTTTTTTCCTAAGAAAAAGAACGCTCAAAAAAGAGAGAAACGAGGGGAAACGAGAGTTCCGAATCGTGGTTATGTTCGATAATCATAAACATCGTAATCTCGTTTAATTTCCATGGTCATCATCAATCAAGTAAGTTCTAATCAATATATTCACTACGTTATAAAAATCTATCATTATCTATCTAACCAGAAGCGTTTTAGGAACATTTGGCTTTTTGGTAAAACCGCTTGTTACTTCTCTCGTCGAAGCGTGTCATTATCCATCAATGACTACATTGACTTCTTCGTCTGTCTTGATTAGATTGACAAAGTACAACGCTTGTTTGTTTGTTTGTTTCGTTTCATAAAAAAAAAAAAATAGATGCAAAATAACCATCTATAATTTCGTTCGAATCAATTTTCACGCGATTTTCAACGATTGTCAACGTCGCGAGACAAAAATATCACGTTGAATACTCTGTCAAGCTTTATCGTAATCGTGTCTTTGATAATTTTTTCTTCTCTTTTCTTCTTTTCAGTCTGTTGCGTTTGGATTTGTATAGGAAAATCCACGGAACACGCCTTGATCCATGGAAGCAAGGATTTGCTCAGGTACAGGAGACAGCCGCGGCCTCTCAGCTGTGAACGCTGTGTCGAAATACTTGGTATCTAAAGTATGGTCCAAAGCTGGCTTGAAAGGTGGTTCCAGTTGCCTCCTTTCCAATCTGTCCCACGGTAACGTCTAAAACAAGTAATCAAATTGGATTAATATTTGCACGAATTGTCTTCTCTGATTTTATTGATCGATAAATGTTTACTCCACAGAATGTAATAATTAATTACTTGGAAGAAGGAGTGCAATGCGATCTCGTGGCCAGGCAGCCTTTTCCCAGAATCCTTTTCCAGAAGGGCGATCAATATGTCAGTTGAGTCTTGGCTCAGGTAACGGGGTATGAACGGTCTTTCGTTACATATACTCCAAAATAGCTCGTCCTCGTCGCAACCGGAGAATGGCGACTGTCCCGTGAGCATCTCGTACAAAAGCACGCCGTACGACCACCAATCGACCGCTTGATTGTATTTCAGTCCCTTTATGATCTGCAATGCGGAAACAGTTAAATGCGGTCGGCTGAGAGAGATCAATCTTGTTGCGCGACAAATTTAATTTTAATTTTCATTAATTAAACAACGGTTTTGCGCCTGTTTAATTTAATTTAATTGTTTCAGAAGAGGATGTTTCTCTCCTCCGCGCACAAAGAAGCAAAGGTATATTTTTGAGTCGAGAGTTTTTTCCCCGTTCTCGTTACCTCGGGTGCCATGTAATCAGGCGTGCCGCAGAACGTATCGGCGGTTCTGTCGAGGAAAATTTGCAGCTTGCACATGCCAAAATCGGCTATTCTGATATGCCCTTCGTAATCTAGCAGCACGTTGTCCAATTTCAAGTCTCTGTACACTATTCCCTTCTTGTGCAAGAAGTTCAAACCGGACCAGATCTCGGCCGCGTAAAATCGGGCCCTCGGCTCGGGGAAACGACCCGATTTCTGTATGTGGAACATCAGGTCGCCCCCGTTCAGGTACTCCATCACGAAGAACAAGTGGGAATCTGTCTGGAAGGTGCAGAACAGGTGGCAGAGGTACGGATGCCTCGTGGCGAGCGTCAGCACTTTCCTCTCGATCAACGTGCATTCCACGTCGTCGTCTTCGAGGACCACGTCTTTCTTCAAGCATTTCACAGCGTACACACACTCGGTACCACGGAGCTCGGCCAACAACACCTTGCCGAAACTACCTTTTCCTAGCACCTGGGCAAAAGTTAACGAATGTTAATTAATCTCTCTTATTACTTTGAAAATTATTATTATTATTATATTCGTGTTTATTATCGTTGCATATTCATCCACGTTGTTCAAAGATTCAACCGGGCAGTTTTTAATTAAATTGAAAGCGGAATGGTGGTGGAAGGAGAGTGGAAAGAGATTGTTGTGGAATGGAGACGAGAAGAGAAGGTGTAAAAATCTGCGAGGAGTAGCGAAGATCAAAAGTGAGACAAGGTTCTGTTACCAGATGGAAATTCAGGTCTGATGGAGTAAAAATGGCACACGGTGGAAAGTTGACGCGTCTAAAGCGAGAGTACGCACGTGAGAGAACTCCTGACACGTTAAAAATAATGCGTTACGCGCTGCTAATTCGAGTGAGTCTATTTGCGTGTGCTCCACCGTCGAAAATCGAAATTTCTCTCAATTATTTTTCCCAATAAATTTGTCTCTTCAGCAAACGATGAATTTAGATTTCAAAAATTTTCTTCTCTTCTGGATCCGGATGATCTTTCAACAAGCAAGATCTATCTCACGTGTATGAATTTCAACAACGTGGAACAACTGCTTTTCGCGCGGAGATGATACTACGTTTTCTTGGCATTGGATCGTTCTTGAGAAAAACTTGAAAATCGAGAACCATCTCACCTTGATTATTATTTCGCGAGGATGTCTCGTGTTTAAAACAATTGGTAAATTTTTTTTCGAAAATTAAACAAATCTGTATCCAAGTCATTAAAATTAAAAATTCTTTTAAAATTATCATTTCGATCATTTTAACAATGCAAGGATAAATAAATACATTTCGTTCTTCATGAAATATATTTTCCACGGAAGTAATTGTTGTTACTGTTAATATTTCTTGTTATTTCAAATAAATTTATATTAAAGAAGTTCGGTGACGCCGATGGAGGAAAGATTGTCCGATGCATGCTTCTCGTCATTTTATAGCGGATAATAATTTGACCATTTCATCAGCGAAATTTCCAACTCGAGATCTTGGCATACGTTCGAAAGTTGCACGTGTCACGGTGAACGAAGTCATCGCAGGCTAAATAACGTTCATAATGATCGGCAGTCTTGCGCAGCTGACTCACTTTTAAAAAGTTAAAGTCTGTCACGTTGTATTTTTTGAACCTAGGCAGGTTTGTGGCCGGTGGGGTGATCCTTCCACTGGGGAAATGATCCGAAGAGTCTGAATTCCTCTGGTTGTCCGACGACTGTGAAGGTGCTGTGAGATCAAAAGATAAAAGTCATCATCGAACTGTTGGTTAAAACAATTAATATCATAAAGATTGTTATCGTTAATAATTTCACAATCGTAAAATGGAATGGAATAAATTGATCTTGCAATTGGTCGCTCTTCCCTCAGTTTCAGCTGAAAAATTCTCCTTTATAACGCAAACCTATTTGCCGATATTAACAATATCAACACGGATTGAACAACGATGAATCAAAAAGTAACGAGATTTTTTTTCTTTGTAAAACGAGAATGTATATCGAATTTCCTTCTAAGGTTTACGCAAAGAGAATGAGGAAGCCAAGAAATGTCTCCGCTCAAATTTCAATTAATATGCACATTAATTGTTGGTACGAATATATATATATATCCTGGCACGTGAGTATATTAGATGTTGGCCGATTGGCATTTCTCGAAAATAGAGCTGACCGTGCTATGACGTGTGCAAAATTTTGAGGAACGTGACACGAGTGATCGATCGGAGGACAGGTACGAATATACGATTATAACAGGTATAAGTAATATCTGATTTAACTGATGATTTAATTTTGGTGAAATTACGGTATCATCCATCATCATATTATTTACCAGTTGGAGCGAAAATGGATTTATAACAGCCACGTGGAGTTACGCGGCGAAGTCGTAGATGGATATAGTTGCTGGGCCAGCCAAGTCTGACTCTATGGGCCAACGATCAAGATCGAATTCGAGAGGGGGGGAGGAGGAAAAAAAGCAAAAGCATTTTGCTAAAATAATTATCCGTTTCAAAAGATTATGTTAAAGATGGAAAATTATTCCTTTGAATGAGCAAATAGATAGAACTCACCTCTCTTGAGGGACTGCAAGGCTTCCGCCACAAGCTTTTGATTCAATCCGCAAAGATTTCCAGTCAGTTTCTCGCATTTCTTGTGACAGGCCATGTCGCAATCTATTTTTAAACGTTTTCCCGATCTTATTCGTTTGATTTTGTAACTGATGCACCTTGCGTACGAGAAAAGCCTAACTTTCTAGCTTAAAGAACAACGACACTCTTGCCCGGTTCCTTCTCTACTGATACCCAATCAACCCATCATCATCCATCTAAATTATTTCGAAACTTATGTTTGCAGCATCAACTAAGAGCGGCTTGTATCATGAAGCCTAGAATATTGTTATGAAACCGCGCTACGTCTTACTACGAATAAGGTCACGGCGTGCACAATTATTTACACTCGTTTTTAAATCAAGATGTAAGATTATTAGTCATAGATAGATTAATAATGCGATCAGCGACAAAAGTTGAGATAAAAAATTAATTTATACTGTATTTGTCGAAATGTCGAGACGAGGGAGAGGGGATACTTGAAATCCATTTGAACGTATGGCAAGTGCACCCTGTAAACAAAACAGCGAACAAGTGTCGTTGACTTCGTGACAATGATCTTATAACGCGTATAACGAACTGGCTTCAGATTTGCGACAGAAGCACGTGTTGCACTGGTTGAATAATAAGAGAATGTGTCTGGATGTAGAACGATTATTACGTAACAGATTATTTTCTGCCATTCTGACAGCCTAGATGCAAGACTTTGTATCTTTCTAAAATTTCATGCAGAAAGTAACATATAGAAGGTAAATGGTAGCAGGTTAAAGACACAAAAAGTCAAAAATGAAATTTGTTAACCAACGGATAAAAACGAAAAAGCTCTCGAGCAAGCTAATTTCAATATCCGGATTATACAGATTTAGTTTCCAAGTTTATTTGTAAAATATATTTAAAAAAAAGGTATCGAAATCAGTATATTTTTCTCAACGTAAACACACCACCCACACTCGTGAGAGAACAGTAAATCTCCGCGAATCTGTTTCAGATTTCCTGGCTAAACAGAAAGCTCGGATAAAGCGAACGTTAAAAAAAAAAAAAGAAGAGAGAGAGAGAGAGAGAGAGAAAGGATTGGAATTACGCAACATCTATCAACAGAACAAACGATCCAAAAATACTGTAGGACAAGTACTGGATATCCTTGGTGAACCATCGAAGCCAGAATCGTTACTCCTTGTAGAATTCATTCTCTTGTGTTCCGGATCATCATCGAGCTCCGTACAAGTGGATCCGCTGCTTTCCGTGGTCGCTGTGCTAGTGGTGCTTCCGGTACTATCGCTGCTTACAGACGGTGTCCTGGAATGATGCTTTCTCCTCTTGATCTTGGCTCGACGAACTTTGGACAAATCTCTGGGTGTGGCGGTTAACAATGCCGACGGAGTTGTATAAAACATCCTGATGAGATCTAAGGGACGTTGAGACGGCACGTTTTTAGGGCTGATTTTACTGGAAGGCTCAACAGGCTTCGATATCTCTTGACCCTTGGACGAATTCTTCTTCTTGCCAGAAGTATTCTTTTTGCTACTTTCCTTCTGGTAGTTACTTTCTTTTTTGGTAGAACTTTTCTTGATCGTGGAAGACTTCTTCTTTCTCACCACCTTCTTCTTCTTAGACGATTCTTGACTTCCCTCCGGGCTGCTATTCACGCCTGTATCCCTGCAAGGTTCCGGAGTGGCGTTTTTCTCAACACCGTTAAGATTGGAGAGGTCATTCTGATTATTCCACTTGGACATCTTCGATTGTCCAACGTCTGTCCACTCGTTGGTAGGCGTTTTGGGCTCATCTTCTTCGTCCAAAAAGATTTGAGGCTCGACCGGCGTGGACACCGGTTCGATATTTATCACGGGCAGGGAAATTTCTGCGATCGGGGTGGAAACTTGTGAAGCAGGGACGGATGTATCCGGAGTGCTGGTCACCGATTTGCAAGAGATGGTCGATCCCGTAGAATCTTCCCTCTTCGGAGGAGCTTTCTTCACCGTGGAGTAAGCTTCCGTTTGATTAATATTTATGCACAGGTTCTTCTTTTTCTTCAACCCCCTCCTAGGAATCGAATCATCTTTATCCAGCCCAGTTGAAGGCGTTTCAGCAGCGGATGTTGTCCGTTCGTCAGTCTTGGATTTCAACTTGGAATTCTCCTCGCTCTTCCGTTCCTCCTCGATTACGTGGATATTACTGAGCTCGGTCGGCGGAGTGGCGACGCTTATTTTAGGATCGGTCTCTTTTTTCTTGTCCAGTTGGCCGAGGTCCTCAACCGCTTGACCCGGCTCCGAGCTCTTGGAATAATCGATGAAACCGAATCCCTTGGCGGGCAATTTCTTCGCCGCTTTCGGACTGTCCGGACCCTTGATCTCGCTCCAGAAATCTATAGATTCCGAGGACGTGCTTTTCGACAAGCTTCCCACTTCTCCGTTAACAATCTTCTCAAAATTCGAACACTTTTGATCATCCATCGCCTTAGAATCGACGCTTATCACACTTCCCCGCTCCAATGCGACATCGCTGTTATCGACCTTGGAAACTTTCTTCCTCCACGGGATCTTGGACTCTTTATTCGCTCGACTTCCTCCTTCCTCCGTGTTTGGCGTCGCCAAATTACCCGCTTCGCTCCCCACTTTGAACAGCGATCTCGGAATTTCCTCCCGTTTAACCATCCTCCTCACCTTCCCATCCTCCTCCGATATCCCTTCCTCGATCTTCGCCTCCTTCTTTCGCGCGCCACCTTCTAGAACGATCTTTTCGGTCACGAGTCGTTGCTCGGTCGTTGCGTCATCGGCGGAACAACGATCCTTCGACGAGAGATTATCTTTTTTCAGGGTCTCCACCGAAGGTGATCGATCTGCCGACGGAGTGGGTGCGCGGGTGGCGTTCAAGGTCACGGCTTTGTCCACCTTCCTCCCCGACAACTGAGACACCACGTCCTCGTCACGCTCGGCTTTCGTCGGGTTTGCCAGGTACCGCGGTTCTCGTAACACACGCTTTGGCGCTTCTACGGCATTATTTTCATCCGTATTAATTTTAGACGCTTTTGGCAGCCTGTCCGATGGAAGCGCTTCACTGCTGGCGCTGCTGCTCTCGACCAACGGGTCAACACTTGGCGTCACGTCGTTCTCGCCGCCCATCGCTTTCCTCCAGCAGGATTCCTTTCTCGACGCATCCTTCGTCGCTTCGAATTCCTTCCTCCCAATTCCAACCGCTTCCCTTCTCTGCCTCCCAACGAGTTTATCGGGAGGCGACCTCGGCCTCACCCGATCGATCTTATCCTCTTTCCCGATGCTTTCCAATTTCTCGAAGGGCTGGCCGTTCCTCGGGGATCCTGTCTTCACCGTGAAGTGGACGCTGTTTCTCGAGCTATCCTTCGCGTATGGCTTCCTCACAGGTAACACGACAACTTCCGTTTCGTATTCTTTCTCCTCTTCTTGGACATTTTCGTCTGCTACTAGGTTTTCCATCTTTTTAGGGATCGGTATCCTCACGCTTTCCCTGAACTGAACTTCCACAGGTGCTTTCGCCTGCCAGACGCTGTTGTCGATCCTCGACACGAGGGATCCCGAATCCTCGTTTCCACTCGTCCGAGCAAGGTTAGTTGCGTTATTATTCGAGATGTCAGACTCGCAATCCCTTGTTAAACCGTCGTTCGTTTCAGGTGGCGAGGGTTTCTCGATGATTTTCTTCCTCTTCTTCATCTTCTTCAACGTCTTCCTCATCTTTTGGGCGGCGGCTTCCTCCTCGCTCTGCGACACTGAATCCCCGTCCACGCTCCTGAAGAAGCTCGAAGGAACGACAGATTTGCGCCCTTTCTTGATCAACGTCCCCCTACGAACCTCGTTCTCGATCTCCGCTTGCTCCTCGGCGACCAACGTGTCCAACACCTTGGCCTGAACCTGGGCGTAAGCCACTTTCCTCTCCATCTGTTCGGGATCCAATTGAATATCGGCGGAGGACCGTCTCCTTGTGAATCTTCTCGTAATCTTGTTTTTCACCTGTTGCAGATCCTCCTCCTCTTCCTTCTCCTCTCTCTCTCCTCCTCCTCCTCCTCCATCTCCTCCCCCTGCTCCTTCTTCTCCCTGTCCAGACC